CAGGGTCATTGGGACTGGACTCAATGACCTCTCAAGGTCCCTTCCAGTTCTGAGCTAGGTATATCCCCATATCATGGGAGCAGCTAGCTACAACAAGGCAAATTAGCATTGGTAACTGTTTGGATGTACTACTACTTTGTCCTGAGATGAGCTTTGCAGGGTGCAAAATTATACATTACCTAATCCCCTTTGGCAAATTATTCCTGGTATTGTATATGTCACCCATGTGTTTTTATGAAGAGAATGTGCCAACACAGGTGTTCAGAGAGAGAGAAACATTTGCCCAGAGAGAGAGCAAGAGAGACACGGAGAACTAGAAAGGGAGGGCTTTTCTTTGGAAAAAGATGCAGAAAATAGATGGAGAGAGTATATCCAAAGGGAGCATACAGAAAGAGCAAGAGAGGGAAGGGAGGAGAGACCAGAGAGACAGTGGACTTCCAAGAAGAGGAAAAAGCATCTGAACACACAAAAGAGCCAACATAGGGAGGAAAGATCAATCATGGAATAAAAGCAAGTGCAAGCAGAGGAGAAGGAACCAATGGCTAAACTTTCCCCCAAAATAGGTGTAAAGAGAGGAGCCCTCAACCATACATCCCACCCACTAGGGAGCTGTGCCTCATGTTTTATTAGAAAGGGGTCTTTGGGTACAGCCTGCCTTTCATGGTCAAGGTCAGGGCTAAGGGCAGGAAAACCCCGCCCACTCTGGGGGTGGAGCTTCCCCCAGGTTCTTCCTATAAAGGCTGAGCAAGGTGGCAGTTCTCCTGTTTGATCCTAAGGGGGTGGTTTTTCTCTTTGAGAGGTGGCATTGCTGGCTCAGGATGCCCCGTCAAGCGGTTGAGCTAGTTGGAATTCCTCCTCCCTACTACATGAGGAAGGCTGGTCAGGGACTTGGGGGGTAAGTGGGCACTAGGGCGATGGTGCCTAGGAGGCAGGGGAGCTGGGTTTCATGGAGCTAGTGGCTGCAGTATCCTGGTTAGATGCTGTGGGGTGGGCAGGTGGTGCAGAAAGCCCTGGGATTGCACTGGGGCAGAGGGCAGCAGAGATGGGGTGTGGGAGTCAGTGGTAGAAATGGGACTCGAGGGAGGGGAAAGGTCTTGGAGGTGGTGGCTGGTGGGGAAGAGCAGGGAGTGAGTCCCATGACTGTGTTGGAGGGGGGCAGGTCTGCTGAAGCCAAGGCAGGTCTGGGGCAGCAGCAGACCGTGGGAGGGAAATTGCTAGGTCCCTCCCAGGGCTGACCTTACTGGACCAGAAGGTAGCCCGGCGGGGTCTCTGGTACAGGGGAGGCAGTGGAGCTGGGTGCCATGGGGGTCCCTACTGCAGGAAGAAGTGAGTGGGGGGAGGGTGTTGCTAGTGCAATGGGCAGCAAGGCTGGGTGAGAGGGGATCTTTGGGCCCATGGACGTAGGGGGAGGGGAGGGTTCCACGGGCAATGGGGCTAAGAGAACTTAGTGCAGGGGGCACTGTGGGTGGAGGCAGTCCCAGAGGCAGCAAGGGCTCACTGCAGGGGCTGACATGGCTGGGGGTTCTGGAGGTGTTCCACGGGCAATGGGGCTAAGAGAACTTAGTGCAGGGGGCACTGTGGGGGGAGGCAGTCCCAGAGGCAGCAAGGGCTCACTGCAGGGGCTGACATGGGTGGGGGTTCTGGAGGT